CTTGTTCATTATATGACTTACGGTGTGGATGTGTCAGACAAGACTGTTATTGTGAAGGGATTGGGAATATAGAGGAATTGTAACCCTGAAATCAAGAACCACAAACTACTTAATCTCAAAAAATTATTACTTGGGCAAACATCAGTGTGTTTTTAGTTTCTCTCAGTTGGTATAAAAGCAAAGCAAGAAATCACTCTTTATGTTTAAACACTTAACGTAATATTACATAATACTTTCTCATATACATAAATAGATACAATACAATTCATTTCAAAGCCAGTTCCAATTCAGAACTGTGACAAATTCATATTTTTGAATTTGAAGAATTTGTATTGTGTTTTGCCCACTCCAGGCACGGCTGAAGCATCTGGAGCAGGGTGAATTGAAGCCTGCTGACCACAGAGACAGTGAAATCAAAGCATAAAAGGCTGTCCAGAATATCTTCATGGTACAAATGCTGACCCACAAAGAAATAAAAAACATGGCAGTTTGCTGTCATTACATGAAAGCACAAATTGATGTTACAGATATTTTGGACATGCAGCTTTTCAGGCTTAGTCTTCCTTACCTTAAAGGATTTTTTTTCTCTGGTGGAGAGTGAGAGGAGGACATTAATACCACCTTCTCATCTGTCTATTATAAAAGCTGTAGAAGGCTGCAACCAGCCACAGGTTAGCTTAGCTTAGCACAAAGGTTGTAAACGGGGGAAACCGCTCTGTCCAACATTAACAAACACATTTAAGCCTCATATTAACTGGACAGATGTGGGAGTCCCCTCATCTAACTCTCTGCCAGAAAGTGAATGTGTGTATTTCAAAATATTGATCTATTTATTTACAATATTCTGTATTGAATTTGTTTCTATTATAGCACCAAACCAAGCGGTGTCAAGCCATTGGTTCAACTCAAATTGTGCACAAATACTCACACCTTACCCTCTCTGTTACTCTGTCATGTTGATGCATTCAACTTGTTTGCTGCATATCTAGCTGTAACTATTTGCATTTAAACAATTATATGTGAGTGACTTGGCTTTATGTTATACCTACTTTTTGGGCATTATACTGTGTTGAGGTGGCTCATTCAGCCAGAAAACTGTGATATAGAAACAATAATATAATAATTATAAACTTAGTTCTTGAAACGCATAGTTGATAAGGAACCAATAAGTGCCTCTATGAGATTGTTGTGAGGTGATTTCACGTTAGTGTAATATTAAATTTATAGGCATGTGACTTCTGGTTTGAGTTATATTGGGTATTTTACAGCAAGTTCAAACAGGTATTATAAGTATCAGAACCAATAATCGGAGCTATCTTCTCTATAATGGCCAATTCACTCCATCATGCGACTGCTAGATATCCAGTCTGCACTCCGGAGGTGAGCAAATGGTGTACCTGAGGTTTCACTGGGATTGCAGTGTTATCTGGTAACCTGGCATGACAGAAGGCTCTTACGATAAACATTCCCAGTGGGGAAACGTTCTCTGAGGTAACATAATGATCCAATCTGTGTGTATCCATACAGAGAAGCCTGGCTTAGGCCATGTTCAGAGACAGTGCTTCAACCTGTATTGGGTAACAAATCACACGTATGTAACCGGGCAAGCACTAACAGGAAATCAATGTATCCAGCCACCTATCCTACATCAATACAGTGTCTTACTTTCTCACCATAAGCCCTGTTCATCTCGCAGCCTTGCTCTCTCTCACTCTTGTTCTGTCTCTCTTTTTCTCACTGCGTCTCTGCAGTGTGCTTCTTTGAAAGCCACAGCATCTCTATTTTAAGGACGTCTTTGTTTCTCTGCTTTGTATTCAAATGATCAGGTTCACAGGCAGGAGGCAGCTCTGAAGACGAGTGGGTTGGTGGGAGAGGAGGGAAGAGAGGTGGCGAGTCGGGTTCTGGAGTCAGGTTTCTTCTAACCAGATCGTTATGAGGTGATGGCAGCTGGAGGAATGCACTGTTAATTCCCCTTACGCGGGTCACATGACCTTCGGGTTCGCTTGCCACCCAGAGCAATTTGAACAGTCTGGGTGGTCAGGGGAGAGAAAAAACGTCCATCTATAATGTGTGTGTCATGTACTGTATGTGCACACCATGATTTGATTTCATTCAGAAGCTGTTTGTAGGAATATGGGTTTGTTACCGTACCCTGGAACCAGACTGCGTGGCTGTGTGTGGCTGTAGTGGCCAGACTAGGCTGCACCTCCCAGCAACAATGGGTCCAGCCAGTGACACATTTCTGTGTGTCTGCTAATGCAAAGTGGGCCAGTTGGTTTGCAGTAGAGTGGGCCATGTTTGACTCACAGAAACATGAAGGTGTCCCGTAATTTTAGTCTTTGAACAAAATGCTTTTGGTAAGTAACTTGATTTCTTTGTAGTAAGAGGTTTGGTTAAGAAATCTGCTCTAAGTATAGGAGTAGGGGTAGTTGAGTGTATGTTTACTTGTCCCTGGCGCTTTGTTACTAAGCAGCGTACAGGTATTGACACACATCTTGACGTCTTAATCCTTCTCGACCTTGTGTTTACAGTACAGTAAGGCTCTGTTTCTTAAGCTCTCTGTTGTTGACAACTGTCACTGTAAAGATAAGATTAGCTAAGTGAAAGCAGCATGATGATTTAACATGTTCAGTCTCATCGGAGCTTCAGTGGATCCATCGGTACAGATTCATGCAGTATGAACGAGCATTGCCCAACCCAACAGAACTTTCTTTAAATTTTATTGAAAATCCAAGCAAGTTTTACAAATGGATAATTGTCATCTGCAAAACACAATTCTCTATTTGATTAAATGGTTCGTCCATTTAAACATTGAATCCTAGATTTTAATATTTCCTGAAATCTGCTTGTCCTTACTGAAGTGCAGGTAAAGCAAGCAGGTAACGAATATATATGACATTGCCAAACTGTCGAAAAATACTTTCAAGCTACTTTTATAGTTAGTTCACCCCAAATAATAATAATAATAATTAAAAGAAAACACTGAATGTTTTTAGTATAAGTCCAAGTACAAGTTTTTCTTGTATTTGCCAAAGTCTCTGTGTCAGATATTTCAGCCTCCACCTCAATACAATGAAGGTAAATAGAATTTAGTTTGTGGTGCTCATAAGTTGCATTTAAAAAAATCTGCAGGAACTTTTCTTTTTCAGAAACCATGTATTCATTATTATTCATTATAACTCATACAACACACTGTCAGCACTATTCATAGACTATTTTCTAGAAACTATTCTATGGATTATCCAGAGTAACCAGGACACCGTTTCTGGATGAGATGTTGGTGTTTTTAATGCGCGTACTGTGAGAATTCTATTTTGTGGTGGAGGAAAAAATCTCAGACGGATATCTCAAAGTCTGGACCAATTAAACCAAAACTATCAGCAGGACCAGACACCACTAGAGTGTTCTGTTGCAATTGAACCGACCCCTTAAGGGTATATTCAGAGGAAATATTGGGAGCATTAGGGTTGGGGGATTGCGGTCGGATATGAAAGTACTGCAACAAAAATCAAGAACTGGATCCCTCTGTAGTGTTGTTGTCCGTAATTATTTTAGAGACACACAAAACCTACATTATCTGCATGCAGTAAGCAACTTTCAGTGTAATTTATTGCTGACATGTATTCTGTAGATTCAGCTTTTCACAACTCCACACATGCACACAAACACAAACACACAGATTTACTAAGAGACTGTTTTATCTGCACTTGATTGTCGTGTGTGATTGATGAGCTGTCTCACTCAGCCCCAGAGCTGCAGTCGCAAGATATAGAGGCTGCACACCACGTACACATTTGATAGCCTTTTATAAGATTGTCTCAGTTGGCAGATAGTCACCACTGTAGGTCGGAGCCGTGTGCTGAGAACACGAAATGACCATATACAAGAGCTCTCTATGTCTCTGTCTCTCTCCTACGCATTTGCACACACACTGTTTTTCTCCACAATCTTGTTATTCTCCGTCTCGCACTCTTTCCCTCTCTCTCCCCAACACATGCGCTCACACACACCTCCACTTTCAGAGAGACAAACACATAAACAGACGGGTTGTGGCACGTGGCGTTTGTATATGTCCACTGGGTTTGAAGGGTAGCTGACGAGGCGTTGATGCATCAGGAGAGTCTCTGTTGACAGGCCGCTAATGCAGTGTGGCACCGGGCAGAATGGGCAGCAGGGGGCACGCAGCGGAGGCGGGAGAGTAAACTGTAAACCGACACTTAGGCTGAATGGAGTTGTTTGTCACTGTGGGTAGCAATTACTTGGACTGGCCTAGCTTTGAGTAAACTCCCTGATCAGGAGGGTGCCCCTCTGCCAGGCCAGGAGAGGAGGGCGGGGACCGAGGCCATGTTGATACATTCTGCGGCCTGGTCCTCGTGTTTGAACACACTCAGGCTGAGCTTCCATCTGTTGACTCTTACTGCGTGTCGGTGTTTGTGCAGGCAGCGCTGAAAGCACCAGCAGCTTCAACTTAAGAGCTCAAATTAATATAGTCACAGGTTACTGAGATGTGCAGATAAGGCATGGCGCCGGGTCATGCACAGTGCTACAGCAGCTTTTTTTTACCTGCTGCAGCTTCACACAGGATGCAGCACAGCAGCTGCAGAAAGAGGAACTAGCACAGGCTTTCCCATCACTAGGGAGGAATCCACATGGGTGACTTCATAGAAAAATAGATAACTTCAGTGAAAACAAAAATAACTCTACTAAACTGACTGCCGCTGTCACAAAATGAAAAATGACTGGCTCCTCAAATGCAGTTTTCATTTCATTGTATGCACACTGCAGAAAAATACAGATATCATGTTTTCATTTTTGGATAAAAACAAAACTTTCTAAATGTAACCTACCAAGAAAGAGAAAGAACTTGGGACGTGGCATACAGTTACTTAATGAAAGGTATAAATCCAAGGTGGATATTTTTCTCAAAATAATGAGTTGTGTCATTGTATAGTTGTGCAGTTAGCTTCACCTTAACTGAAAAGACATTCATCTCATCACAGGTTTGACTGAGAGAGCAAATATAAAGCAGCCGACTGTGAACGACGGGCACAGTAAGCTGCGTGGGAGAATTTGCACCGTGATCTTGACATCCACGCATCAGTGAAACTTGTGGGTGCAGGGAGGACAGCTTTTGAGAATGTCAGTTCCTCTTTCTATATTTATCCGCTCCCGCTCCCCCCACCATGCTTTGTCACTCTTTTATTTCATTTGCACACCACTCATGCTGCTTTTTGATGTTTAGTGTCGAGCTGTCCAAAGACAGTTGAAGTTTCTTTGACAGACACTCAGTATCTGTTTCACTTCTGTTACAGTAACTCCCTACGAGGTCCCAGAGTCTGTTTGTTCACTGCTGCTGTCCCTAATGTATTTGTTTCATGTCAGAAGACCGTTTTGCCTTTGAGGCAGTGAATCAAACCTAATGCTTAAGACTCAGAAAACACTAATGCTGTATCACTATAATAGTTGGGTTTTCACTACTGTCACAAATTGCTAATGATACATCAGCTCTAAATATGGCATCACTTGCTAATCAGGGACTTTACTCAGGGCCAGGTTACTTTCCATAATCACTACCCACAGCAACCCTGGAGACATGATTTCCTGTTAGCCTTCCTCATAATATACACAAAGTTTACTTTGCCACATATAAAGACAGTAGGGCTTATTAATGCTTCAGTTCCATGGAAAAGGAAAACATAATGATGATAAAGTGTTGCAAGGCTGAAATTGAGAACTAAATGGGGAGAGAGTGACTGCAAGGAGGGAATTGTGCTTTTCTGTGCATCTCAGAGAAATAAAAAGAAAGGAGAGGCAGAGAAACCTCTCATGATACAAATGAGAGAGATGCTGAGTGAACCAGAGGGTGGTCAGTCTTTCAGTGTTTTACAGGATCAGATATCACATCTGCTGAGGATACATATCGATTGGCATTAACAAAAGACTAGCATGCTCGACTCCATTAGCAGGCTGGTTGGTTGCATGTCAACTCTCCACTAGCTGTATTGTATCTTTGGGTGTATTTCTGTGCGAAAATTGTGCAAAAATTGATGTGCGTATGTATATTTGAGTGCCTGATCAAAGTTTTAAGCCTTTTTTGTGTCATAGAATTTATGGCACCGCTGTATTGTGTAAAAGTTGGCACCAACTATTTTAGATTTTTTTGCCAGGTTTTGTTCTTTGATCCCATATTTCCTGATTCAAACCAAACCAGTTTTGATTTGATTTGATTTAAACTCTATTTTATCCAAGGCCAATGTTATTGGAGTGTAATTCATAACCTGTGGAGTACTCTTTTAGGCACAGTGGTGCTTTGAGCTAAATGCTAATGTCAGAATGCTAACATGCTTTTAATAACAATATAACACTTTTATCAAACTGAAATTGTTGTAGCTGTGCATTGAGAGACAGGTGGCGAGTTTAAACTGTCAAATAAGATGTATTTAAGTTTTACTACTTTGTGAAGTGGAAGGGGACAGTGAAGCGATGCCACAGCTACTTTTACCGAGTTTTTTTTATTGATTTTTTAACGCAAACAGGTAGAGCACTACTGAGCCACAGTGGCTTTTATACACTAGGTGGGCTCCCTCTTTAAATGGATTTTGTTTCTATCATAACACCGCAGGCATATGGACAGAGTGGGATCAGTTCACCGGAAGACCACACGTCTGAAATAATCTGCCCTCAGAACAGAGACAACCCTCTTTGAATACTCCCAAATTCGCCTCTTTTACTGCCTGTGTCTGCAGTTTATGGAGTGAAAGTCCAAAAATAAGTCATCTGTATGGTTGTCTGTAAATGCTGTAAACCACTCATTTGGTCTAAATTATAGTCTGTGGCTGCTCCAAAACAACATGAAGTTTCTTATAAAGCATGATGTTTGCAGTTTAGGTGTTGCTTGCCTTTACATTATATTGTATAGGTAGGTGTGTGTCATATACGTAAAATTGCCTCATGTGACCATACCACAGGGGAGGCCTTGTTTTCATTTACTGTAAATGAGAACAACTTTGCATAATGCGAGCCAGTGGGTAGCATACTGTTACCATTTATCATAGCTTCATGAAAGCTTGCTTTTACACCGTCATGATCGTTGCACTTCCCATTTTGATCCCTGGCTTCAAAATTATTATCTTCTCAGTTGTTGCTTGCAGGGCCGTCGAACCTCCTAGCTCTCTCTAGTTCCTAACCAGACTGTGCGTCTGCAGCCCGGGCCCCGGCCTTGCTAATCGTTACGTCTGTGTAGAGCAACTTTCCTGTCAATCATCGCCACAGTGGCAGTTTTGTTCCCGGGCCTCTGCCCCCCCCTCCACCTTCCCGTCAGAACCCCTCAGTCTGAGGAACAGAGGACAAAAGGATGACGGATGGGTGAAGGTCCCTCGCAGGGAAGTACAGTATAGAAGGTGTGTGCTGTAAAGGGTGACAATGAGCACATTCAGGCAGACACAATACAGTGCCTCGTCCAGCTAACCCAGCAGCCTGCGAGAGTAGCCCAGCATCAGGCCAGCACAGTCCCCTACAGCAGTCAGCCAGCAGCCACACGGAGCCAGGGGTAATCACCAAGTCCTGAACAACACTCTCATTGACTGGGACCAAATAAAATAAGAGAAGAAACACAGAGCAGAGGAGAAAGAATATGGAGGACAACAGGACAACAGGACGGGAGAAAGGGGGAGGGAAATAGTGAAATGAGAGTCGAAAATGAGCAGGTGTATGGTAGTTGAAGTTGAAAAGAGAAACAAAAAATAAATTGATCAGAGCAATTAGAGAAGGAGAGAAACATCTTTTCCTTTTAACTCATCCCATCACCAGGCCACCACGTGTTGCTGGCCTGTGAGGATCCATGTTCCCTCTGCCTGCCTTCTGATCAGCAGCCCAGCCATCCGCTTGTTCTGTGTGCCGGCTCGTCGCTGTGTGAGTGTGTTTATTTTAGAGTGTGTGACTCACACTTCCTGTGCTCTGCCAATGAGGCAAAGCTCTATGGAACAGCAGGACCTCCGTTCATTCTCAATTCTCTCTTTCTCTTTCTGTTTCTCTCCTTCTCTCTCTCTCGTGTTGCACTGCTGATAGGCCTAGCCTGAGTTCTGCGTAATGCGGGGGCTTGCTTGAATGGATGCCACTCTAGAATTCATTTACAGATGCAGCACAGTGGCACTCTGGATAGAGCTGAAAGATTTACGTAAACGAGACGTTCCTGTAGGCAGAGGGTTTGTCACTTAGGAAGAAGGCTGCTGCTGTTGTTTTTCCCTTCACCCACTACTACAATAAGATAACTTTGCTGATAAGGATGTGATAATTGCAAGGAATCACCTCCAGGGCTCTGCGTTGCAGGGGAAAACCCCATGTAAGACCTGTTTGTAATCCTACCTATCGGCAGCGTGCCACTGCCGCTGAATGTGTGCGAGATGAAGAAACAGCAGCAGGCGCTCCTGTCTTGAACCTGTAGGTGCATGTTTTTGGTTTCACTGTCCTTGTTGGTTGCATTAGCAATAAGAAATGTGAAAATCGATGCTCTTACAGTGGTTTAAGAGAGAATGCTGTGAATTTTTTGACATGTTACATGTTTAGTTTCATCTGCTACCGCATCTTCCACCTCCTCCTCCCCTTACGTTACAGTGGAAACATTCATTTAGTGTCTTCCTCTCTCCCTTTCTCTCCATCACTTTTTTTTGCCTCACCCCCAGTCCCTCTCTCTTTTTCTCTCTCTCTCTCTCTCTCTCTCTCTCTCTCTCTCTGTCTCTCTCTCTCTCCCTCGGCAACACACCCACTCAAACAGTCATATCCGCTCTCACTCTCTGGCTCTCCCTGCTTGTCTCACAGTGCCTGTGAAGCGTCTCTGAGGGGGAAGACCAGACTGCTCTGTCAGGTAATCTAAACTCTGTCTGTGTGTGTCTCTCTCTCTCTCTCGCTCTCTCTCTCTCTCTCCCTCTCTCGCTCTCTCGCTCTCTCTCTGCCCACCTCCCCCCAATCTCTGTCTCTCTCTCTTTCTTTTGTCTTCCTCTCTTCTTTGAATCCATCTCTCCTTTCCTCTCCTCAGTATTTTCCCCGTTCTCTTTCCCTCCTTATAATAACTTTACTCGTCAGCTATGGCAAATTAGTTCTTTAGTTATTGCGGCTATTCCTGTTGTGTGTATACATTTGATAGTTTATACATTTTGTACTTTATAATCTAGCACCTTAGCAACCAGAGGAGTATTTTGTAAGCTAAAGGATTTAAGTTTGTCTCTTATGTGAATATTAAAGGCTCTTTTGTGTTTTAAGGACCTGAAAGTGTGTCTTTGAGCGTGTCAAAGGGTGTCACTGAATCGTATGGATATTATGATAAGGACTCAAATTCACAGATTTAATTAAAGTTGGAAAGCGTCTCTTTTGTGGTACACGATTCCTACTGAATGTCCGTTCTGGAAGAGGGATCCCTTCTCTGTCAATCTTTTTCCTGAATTTCTGGAAATTTTATGGGATTTGTTCCTTATCCAAATCGAGGGTTTAGAGATAGACCTCCTCTTCAGTCAGAGGTAAATCCCTGTGAGACATATTTTGGACCATATAATTAAAACTGACAAACTAAGTGACTATAAAAAGATGATTTCCATCTGTGAAGGTCCTGGCCGCAAATAAAATGATGGAAAACCACTGCAACCTGCAGTTTAGTCCAAGTTGTGGTCAGTTTGTTTTTACAGTTGATTATGTCACCAAAGGACCAGATTTTCCGGTATTATTTAAGCTCAGCGCAATCTTCTCCTGCTGCCGAGGTGTGCATTACCTTGCTCTGCCATGCCACTCATGTTTGATTTAAAGGCTGGTATTGACCTGCAGTTCACTGGCTTGTGTTTAATCAAAGTGAACACTGCGATGCTTGTGAACTGCCAGTCTTATCAAAGCCCTGTGAAATCCTTGTCTACACCCTCTTGCCTCAGAGGTACAGCAATCCCGATGCATCCCGCACAGAGCTGAGAGAGAGTGAGTGAGAGCTCTGGTATGTGGTGTTTTTTCAGACGGCGTCCTCCTTAGCGCACGTCTTCTACTGACAGCAGTGATATCCCTGGGTGAGTGCGAGTCTTGCCCTCTGAGGTTTTGTGCTCTATCTGGCGTCTGGTTCTGTCTTTCTTGGTTTTTTTCCAGTCATTTACAATCCAAGCAAACTGTTTCTTGCTGTGGTTGTGTGATTGGTTAGTGTGACTTTCTAGGATTTTGGGCCTGACTTTGACTGACAGATCTGTTTTTGGTGGTGGTTGCTGGGGAAGGACTGTATTTTAACTTTCCATTTGCCTTATACTCCGGGAATGCTGCAGAGCCTTTTGTACAGTATCAAATGTTGTATTGCTTCATTGAGATTACGACTGTTGCAGTTCAAACTGTCGCAGATGGTACTGTATGTATTTGTCTGCTGACAACCTGTCGACACTCAAAGGGGTTAGATGTCAAAGGTCATGCCAGCTTGTCAATGCATGCAGAGGCCAAGCATTTCCCCTCCTTACTTCCTGCTGCCAGTGTGCGTATGTAGTCAGAAAGGATGCTGGGAGATAAATTTAGACCTCCAGCTCCCTCTCCATCTGCCGTTGCTCAGAGTAGGCTGGTTTCCATGGGAACCTGCACCAGGCTACCGCCAGTAAGAGAGAATGGGAAGAGAGAGAGAGATGTGTGTGTTTCGGGGGGGGTATGACAGCAGATTTTTTAAAAAGCACTTAAGAGGGTTTATCTGTTCTCAGGGCACAAGGTAATTTAATGTTTAGCCCATATTTTTATCCGTCATTACCAGCTGCATGAATACGTCCGGGTATTGATGAGAAAATGAACACAAACTCCGCCGGCCGTACTCTCCTGTGCATGATAATGAAGTTTTAGCTGTAAAACTGCTGCAAAGCTCCTGTGCTACTTATTGAGCAGGAGTTGAGCTAAATGTTTGTTTTATGGGATTTAAAAGTGTGTGTGTTAGTGTGTGACAGTATGTGTGTGTGTGTGTGTGTGTGTGTGTGTGTGTGTGTGTGTGTGTGTGTGTGTGTGTGTGTGTGTGTGTGTGTGAAAGATATGGACTATGAGCTCTTCCATGTGTCAGGCCTCCCTTGGGTACCTGCATCAGTGCCTGTTTCTGCTGACAAAGGCCCTTTGCATGTGCACACACACACACATCTCTGCACACATTCCTCACTCATTCTCTTCTCTTCTCTCTGTGGACCAGTCGTTAATCACATTTTAGGCACAGACACCAGAAACTAGTTCAAACAACAAATCACAACATACGCCGTGAAACTGTTATGTGAATTATCATACAGTGGGTCAAGATGGACTAGGGGTGGAAACCAGGGAGAGAGGGGGGGATAAAATGCTCATGTGATCACAGGTTGTTGTTTTGCAAACTGCTACTAATATTAGCATTGTGGGTTTTAACTGACACCCCCAATAAACAGAACATAACACTGTATAACTTCCTGCTCGCACCTCAACCTAAAAATAGAGCACAGTGAAGAACGCCCTTGCCCTACCCTCATCAATAAGGTTGAACAAATTTACATAACCTGTGTGTTTTACCAGAGGTCTTATCATTATAATATAGTTTTCACCTATGAGAAAATGATTGCTACCGGTGTGTATATTGTAGAAGCCCATTGTGTATTAAGTGTGTATGTCATAGGCACCGTTGATAGCAAGTCATCTCTGTGGAATGAGGATGATGAGAAAGGAAAACCCCTCGTCAAACAGTAGGAGGATCGGCTGGCTGGAACCTGCGTAGGTCACCTCAGGGCACCGCAGCTGATTTGCTGGTCAGATGTGTCCAAGTAGATTTAGAGCTGCTGTGTGTTAGTGGGTATTGCTCTGGGGAGAGTAGTACTGTACACTGTATGTGCGCTGTAGGGCGTGCGTGTGTGCGTTTCAGTTTAATGTAGGCTAGACTCTGGCGTTCCTGTCTCTCTTCTTCCTGGCAAGGCCCTGACTGTGTTTCCCCACTCAGAGCTGGCAGTCTAGACTGCCATGAATAATGTAAGCAATGCTCTCCCCAACCTTAAAACCTTCTAATCGCCCTGTTTAAGGGCTGCATCGACTGTTATGCCAGAGATCATTAAACTTACACTCCAATAACCAACTACATGAACAAAGACATTTATTACAGAGGGGTTGAAGAAGACAATTTGTCTTGGTCTTTGTGCTTTTCCTCTTGCTCAGTCGTTTTATTTTCTTTGCACAACATCATCCTTCTTCTTCACATCCAAACCCACTCACTTTTTACCCATCTTTACCCACTTAGGTTCAAGTGTGTGAGGAACACCCTTCTGTCAGGATCTGATGTATAACTCATTTGTAAGCTCTATTCCCTCCTGATTTAACTTATTTAACTCTAGAGAGTAATGTGTCTCTCTGGCTCAACAGCTCAAGACAGAAAAAAATATATCTGCCACCACATACAAAAGTATACCTGTACAGCTGAAAAGGTGGAAGACAGGCAGATGAAAACAGAGAAGTGAATTTTAATGGTGTTGATTTGGTTTGTTATGCTGCCTAATTGCTGTGTGTTGATGGTAAAAGTCTGCTGTAATCAAAGCGTTGGTCTGCTTGGAGAAACACACTAAACAGATGATCGGCCCTCAGCAGATGTGGGGGAACGCGGAGATTGAGCCGAGAATCTGTCAAGTTGTTTCCAAGAGGAAGACTGATTCTCTTTCTTTTTTTCCGCTGTAAACTGGCTCTAATGAAGGCTGACTGTGCAGAGTGTGTTTTTAGACGCATGGAGAGAGCAAAAGTGTGGCTCATTAAAAAAAACTGTCAGTGCTGCCTTGCCACCACTGGCACCTTGAGCTGCAGTCTTCTGCTGGGCCTGTTTATTCAGCCACTGGATCACTGATTCAGTCTTTTCTCTCTTCCCCACCTCTTCTCACCTCATCTTGCACTCTTTCTTACTCCTACTTCATATGCATATCTCTAATATTATAGAACATCTATGCATTTTCGGCCTTCCAGTTTTTACATTTGCCCCACCCCCTCCCTTGTTATCTACTCTCCTGGTTTGTTCTTGGCTGTCAGAGGTGGTCCACGTTGTCTACACCATCACAGAAATCTACAGCGGTGAGGTGAACACACACACGGTGTCCTCCTTCAGTGAGCTCTGATCACCAGAGTCTGACAGAGTTTGGGGGGGGGTGCAAGCAGTGTCAGTTTCTTGGACGATGATTGATACTCTGGATGGGCCTGTGCTGGGACTGTCAGCAGTTGGGCATGGCTGCTCAGTGAAAATGTTATGATTGGCCCCATCCATTCCCAGAATTTGTTTTGATTGGCTGAGATACAAGAATCCTGTGTCTCCAGTTGAGACGGAGTGCAGGATTTGTAGTAAGTGGGAAATATTACAGAAGATACATCTTGATAAAGGAGATTTCATTGTGTCCTCAAGTCTCTACGATCAGCTATAGTTGGCTCCTCATAGACACAGCTCTCTAGTAGTGTGTGAGTGGGAAATATTACAATAGATATGTCTTGATAAAAGTTCTTACAGTACCCTTGCACAATGGGCTTCATAACAAGCAACCACTCTTGGCCCCTCATAAACACTGCACCCTGGTGGCCGTATAATCACCAGTGAGTGTGAGGGGTGTGGGCTGAAACCCAGTTGCTGTCAAGTCCCTTAATCCACTAGAAAATAGCACCCCTCCATTTACCCCCTTTAGCTTTAGTGCCAGATCAGATAAGCATAGGCTGCATTGCCAACATTTGTTTTGACTCCTTGCCCTGACACTGTGGTCTCCTCTGTTGGTGCCTGTGCTGTGGATGTTGCCTGGCTGGCCCTGAGCTGCTCTGACTCCTGCAGAGTAGGCCAGTCATGGGTCAGACATTAATCAGAAATGTCTGTTTTGAGTAGTTTTTAATCTTATATAAATTTAAAAGGAGATTCACAAGCGTGCAATATGTGGACATGCACATACTAAATGCCTGTGTGCACGACGCCTTTTGAAAGTGTTATAATAACAGAACATCTTGACCTGACATTTCTTAATATATTTACTGTAGGTGTGCCTCTGCCTCTTGAATCACTGCACACTATCTGCTTATTAAGAGTTGAAGCCAGGACAGATGAGAGCAATAATGTTGCTGATGCAATTACCTTGCTAATGTTCTCATTACAACACTGACCCCACTCAACACTACACCAGGAAATATAACCCTATTTGTCATAGTATGATATGTGGGGGCAATTTTTAAAAGGGAGTTTGATAATAGGACACTAATGATTTTGTCCTTCTACTCTACCGACATAACTCTTTTTTAGACTGCATGGCAGGCTTTTTGGAGACCCTTAGGATGTCAAGAAGCCTAAGTCATCTTCACAAGGTCCTGTGTGTGTTAGATGAATTTCAGTGTAGCAGGACCTCTTGATTCCCTTTCTTTGTTTTGTTGCTTTTATTTAGACTTTGTATTTTTGTTTTTATTGCAAAATGAAGAGGGAAGAAAGAGAACTGAGAAATATTTTTTACAGCACTTTGCTGTACTGTAGCTCTTTGTGACAAAACCTTTTTTAGAGAATCCAATAAATGTATGAATATGTTTCCACTTTTGTATCTCAGTCCTTCCTTGTCTCCTTCTGTGTTTCTTTAGACCCATTCGGAAGCTGAACGCCAACACTCTTTACAACCAACAAAGGAGATGCAGAGAGGACCTTGGCAAGGCTGTTAGAATGGCTGAGGCTGGACAGAAGCAGAGCTGCTTGGAACAGAGAGATGATCCATGTTTACCTGCATCCATGCATCTCCAGGGCACCTTTTAATGATGCCTCATTTGGTCCTCTTGAATAACTTTTGGCCCACACTGAAAAAGGCCCTCCGTTGTGATTTACAGCTCAGTCTGTCGATGTTCCCCTGCCTCTGACCTCTTTGCTGCCATGCGGTTAACCCCATGAGGCTCCGAGAGCCCTTCCTTGTGTGTCTTTGAGGCCTCCTCCCCACTCTATGGAGGCTGAGCCCAGCCATCCGGCTGATGGGGAGCGCTCTGGAAGGCAAGAGCAGCAGCATGTAACAGCTGAATCCTCACTAGGATCTTGTCCACCACAGCAGCCCCAGCAGCCTCCCAATCCTCGTCCTGTACACAGAGCCTTGGGCCGCCTGCAAAATCGCCAACCCAAACGCACTGACCTTCTGCTGCGGTTACAGCAGCAGCAAGCAGTAGCATGGCAGCATTCAGACACCCCAGGTCCCTCAGGGGGCAGCTTCTTCTCTCCAGCCTCCTCATCAACCTCATCCCTCCCCTCTACATCCTCCACCCAGGGTGAGCATGGACAAGGGGTCCCATCTCAGTCCAGCCAAGAGAACTTAGAAAGGGTCAGCTCACCCAGAAGAGGGGAGAAGAAACCCCCCAAACCAGGGAAGTATGTGTGCACTTACTGTGGCCGTCCATGTGCCAAGCCAAGCGTTCTTCAGAAACACATTCGCTCCCATACAGGAGAAAGACCCTACCCTTGTGCCCCCTGTGGCTTTTCTTTTAAGACCAAGAGCAATCTCTACAAACACCGCAAGTCCCATGCCCATCGCATTAAAGCAGGCCTGGCGTCCAGTCGTGATGAGCCCAGTTTGAGTGGACCAGAGGGTAGTGGCATTGGAGAAGAACCCGAGGAACACACAGAGGGAGAAAGTACTGAGTCTGAAGAAGAGACAGGCCAACACAGAAAATCTTCCTCTAAGGAGATGTTGGGCCAGCAAAGGAAAGGTGGTAAGGAGCTGCTGGGAAGCTCAGAGGAGAGCCAGAGGCCTGAGGATTCCCAGGCTGTCAAGCAAAGGTTGGCACTGAGGCTTAGTGAAAGGAAACGTGGCCCAATGGCTTCTCCAGATGACCCTCCTTCCTCCCTCTCCACTTCATCTTCTTCTTTAGGCCCTGGCAGTAAGGGCAGCACAGAGTCTGGCTACTTCTCTGGATCAGGCAGCACTGACCTGTCCCAAGTTAGCCCCCCCAGTGCCAGTGCCAAAACCTACGCAGAAATTATTCTAGGGAAATATGGAAGGCTGGGAGGGCAGCAGCGCAGTCCCCATCAGCAGCAGCCTCATTCTTCACTTTCCTCATCCTCAGGAACGGAGGACAAGAACATTCCCTTTGCTGTACCAAAAACCCAAGTAATAGAACACATTACCAAGCTCATCACTATCAATGAAGCGGTAGTAGACACCAGTGAGATTGACAGTGTAAAGCCCAGACGCTCCTCTCTGTCCAGGAAGAGCAGCATGGAGTCACCCAAATTTACCACCCCTAAGGATCCCTACACATTTGATCCCAAAGGAGAAGCCCCTGGCCCCAGTGGTTTGAGGCACGTCCACCATCCTGAGGCAGATCCACCAGGTACCCAGGAGCAGTCAGCAGTGCCTCTGCTTAGAAGCCATTCAATGCCATCATCTACCAGCCAAGGAGAGCCCACCACCTCTGGCACCATCTCTCCCAGAGGTTACCGTCTCTGCCAGTCATTCGATGAGCAGCAAGCAATGGTAGCGGAGATGAGGGTTGGCCATGCCCAGCGTATGCTGAGGCGTCAGCCTGCCATAGAGGTCCCACTGGGAGCTGAGCTACTACTGGAGGAGTCCAGTCCCACCTCCTCAGCCAGAGGCACTGAACTTGCCAGGCAGCCACAGCAACAACAACAGCAAAGGAGTCCGAGTCTGTTTGAATGTGAAGCATGTAGGGCCCACTTCCAACACAGTGAAGGCTACGAGGCCCACAAAGGCATATGTGCAGGGCAGCAAACACTAGAACAAGAGAGCAGGGATGCGAGTAAAACATGCAGGGAGGATCGCCCCCAGATGATGATGCACTATAAGTTCCGAGCATTGGCCATGGCTGTGAGGAAGAGGAGGAAAGAGGAAAGTCTAGAGGAGGATCCTCCCAGTCCTGGGTCTGTAGCCATGTCAGGCAGCTCTGCAGGCCTCATTCCTGTGCCAAACCGACCAGAGCACAGCCAGGCCCTCTCAGGTTTGTTTATGTATCCCTGCAGTAGCAGATAAAATGATAACATGATCCTGTGTGAGGTTTATTTTATTTCATGCCTTTCTATCCTCTTTTGTCTAAGAAACCAGAATAGCTAAAGTAAAGGTATACACAAGTAAATATTTGCATCCTCATCACTGATGTAAAGCAAAGAAAGCAGAAAGAAAAAATACAGAAATTATACTACACTTTACTACATACAGGAAAATAAAATGAAAAATCAATTAAATGTCATTCAAAAGCAGTATACCAACATAATATTTTGGTAGCTAATTAGTTTATTTTGTTTGTTTCTAGGTGTTTCTTTACAGACTGAGCCAAAACAACAGCAGCAGCAAGACAGGAAAGGCGTGTCTGTCATCCAACACACAAGCTCTTTTGAGAAGCAGGAGAGTATATCTATGGAAAGTCAAGAACCAGACCTCAGTGACAGTCAGCAAACACAACAACACGCGCCAAAACCATCACCTTCTACATCTCGCCTCATTCGCCAGCCAAACATCCAAGTGCCAGAGATCCTTGTTACTGTGGAGCCTGATGCTGACATGCCATCTGTGTCACCGCCAGTGACAGCATCCTCATCCAAGGTACATGATTATTTGAAGTGGCATTTTGCTGTGTATATATATATATATATGTGTGTGTGTGTATATTGGAGAGTGTCTTGCTTTTGTTTACCTATTTATATTAAATCATTGCATGTTTCATGTTGAATAAATATAAAACGTAATGACTTCAGGGTGTTTTCTTTTTTGATTCAAAATTTTCTTTAACTTCAACATCCTATGAAACAAACTGAGCAGGTGAGCAGTTAGTGTCCCTTCATCTTATACTTTTCATTTGTCCTAGGAGGCAGAGAGAGTGGAGGAGTTCCAGTGGCCTCAGCGTAGCCAGACTTTGGCCCAGCTCCCTGCAGAGAAGCTGCCACCAAAGAAGAAGAGACTCCGCCTGGCAGAAGCAGCCCAGTCCTCTGGGGAGTCTAGCTTTGAGTCTGTGTCTCTGCCTCGCAGCCCCAGTCAAGAGAGCAACATCTCCCACACTTCAAGCCTTTCTGCTTCTTTTGAGGACACAGCTAGATCAGAGTCTGCCATCTGGGCCTCCAGTAGCCAAAGCTCCCAGATGTTGATGGTGCCATACGCTTCGCACCAACACCACCAAAGCCACAAGGAGATGAGGCGCTCAGCCTCTGAGCAGGCCCCAGCCAGCCCCCAACAAACAGAGCAGATCTCAGAGACCAGAAGTAAGTCCTTTGACTATGGATCGCTGTCCCCTCAGCAGTCTGTATCCTCCTGGAAAGAAAGGAGAAAGTGTCTTCTTGTGAAGCATGCCACCTTAGGGGAACCTGAGCAGGAGGAAGGAACCAGCATGAGTCAGTTGTCCAGGTCAGAGAGTCCAAAACCTGGCCCTTCCCACACCATCCATCCTTCTCTCTACTCAACTGAGTCAAGCTCCCGGTTCAGCCTGGAAGCCACAGGAAAAGCCTTGCAGCGGTTACAGCCACAAATCTTCCCTCCCTCTCAGGATATGCTCCCATTGCAGCCCAGAGGCCAGAGAACGTTTTCCCCAGGATCACTATCCCAGCTACTCCCCGTCACCACAGCATTTCCTGAAGTTCTGTCCACCCAAATCATCCACAGAGCCTTCTTACATTCACAGACAGGACCTTCACCTATACAGATACACCCAGCACAGATCCACATGGCAGAAAGGTTGGGTGTCCCATTCCATCAGCTTCCTGCTCTAGTTCCTCTCCAGTTCCCTTCCAGGACTAGAGCTAGTCAGGCTCTGTACTTGCCTTTTCCTCAAAGACTTACTGCACATGTTCCTTCCCCTCCCACTTCAGAGAGCAGACCCTCCATCTCTTCCATGTCTTCTGTCCTTGCCCATCAATCCCTTGTAACAATCTCCTGCCACAACCCACGACCAGTCATAGCCACATGCCTGGCACAGCTTACACCAGTAGTGTCGCTTGTGGTGCCAGTGCGCCTCCAGACCCATATACCTACCTATGCCAGTGCCATGTATACCACCCTGTCCCAGATCCTGGCCTCCACCCGCTCACAGGAACCGATTTCTTGCACAGCAATGGTCATCATGGGCCAGGTGGAGCGGGACAAGCTGCAAAGGTCTTACTTGAAGGTCCCCTCCCCAGACATCAAGAGCCTTCTTCCCCTGTCTCTGCCCACTGACTTTGCCTCAGGATCTGAAGAGGGATACGGTCCACTGGGGGCTGGAGGAAGTAAACGTATGCTTTCTCCTGCAGCCAGTCTGGAGCTCAGCACAGAGGCCCAACGTCACCAGAAAAGGGTAAAAGAGGAAGGGGAGGGGGAGCAACATAAGGCAGGAGAGAAGGAGGAGGAGGATGTAGAACAGCAGGTAAGACAGGAAAAAGAAAGTAAAGCCACTGGGAGAAAACTGGAAGAAGGAGAGAAGAAACAGCCAGAGAGGGTTGAGGTGACATCTGTGAAAGTGAAGGGGGAGCAGGAACAAGTACCAAGGAAACAGGAGGAGGAGCAGTCAACTGAGAAGACAAGTAAAAAAAAGGAAGAGGTGCCAACTGTGGAAGAAGGAGTTGGAAGACCAAGCACCCCTTCATACCCCAGCCTCCACACCTCCACCTCAGTCAACTGGTGCTACCTGAACTATATCAAACCCAACCCAACAACCCTGAGGGACCCTTCCACCTCAGTTTATTCTACCTGGAGTGTCAGTGCTCACAACCCCAACTTACCAGGCCTCAGCACTAAGGTGGCGTTGTCTCTACTGTGTTCCAAACAGAAGCACAGCTCAGAGACATACACCATGGCCATGGCCCCGACCCCGGTCAAAAGCAAATTGGCCCCTGCCACTAGCAGGACTCCACGTGTATCAGAGGTAAACATAACTACAATATACAATTACTGTATGTAGATCATAAACTTCTATAGAAATAATACTGTTATCTTTTTTTAACTAGTCTGTATGTTTTACACATGACCCCATTAATGTGCTTAAAGGGGTACTCCACGATCAAAGTCATTTTACAGATCTTTGCGAGTACTATTGCATATGTGAAAAAGTTGTATGAAGCCTTCTTCAGAATCTCATAAATTGCATCAAGTGATGTCACTATAGTTGAGGCTGGGGCTGAAGACTACAAGTTTGAAAATGAAAAAAATATAGACATGGGGAGTTTGAAAGAATAGAGCTTTCCAGACCTCTGTAGCCTGCTCCTTGTCTCTATTTGAGGCTAACAGCTTGGGGTTACATTAGCCACTACTGGCTTAACCCACCAAAATCTTTGACAGGGCTTTCTGCGGTTGACTTGCATTGTGGATAATGTAGGCGCCGGTCTTGTCAAGGAAGAAGAATTCATGGAATAAAAAAGACAATATCTCTGGTTCTGCTGCATCAGTGTTTTTTTTTTGGTTTTTACTGTTCATCTTGAGTCCAAATTGGTGGAGTACTCTTTTAACAAAAAAACAGTTAACATTTTATTTTAAGTTGTTTTTAATGTTTTTATGTGTGTCTTGAGTGTAGGTACATGCCACCCCACCCAGCACCCTCACCAAAGTAAAGGATCAGCAGCAGCATGAAAAGGAGGAGAATAAAGAGATGGGAGAAGAGGAAGGACCCTCCACCTCCCAACAGAGCGACGCTTCTCGTGTTCGCATCTTTGAAGGCGGGTAAGAACTACAAGTGTGAGTGAGGGAGACTGTTAAAATGCAAGTTTTAATTCAAAATTCAATATTTGTGAATAATCGTAGTGCCTCATTACACAAGTAATCTGTTCTTCTGTCACAAACCAACGCCTGATGACAGCAAAACAGCATCTATGGAGAGCTGACGAGAGTGCACATAGAATTACAGTAACAGATGGGAGGCAGTGGAACCCGCAGGGACTTCATTTGTACCTGCAGCCAAGCTTTTTCCTTTTACTGCTGGCATGAGTGTCTGTGTTTTAGAAGTGTTAATTTGGCGAGATAGCTGTGTGTGTGTGTGTGTGTGTGTGTGTGTGTGTGTGTGTGTGTGTGTGTGTGTGTGTGTGTGTGCGTGTGCGTGTGAGAGAGAAAAGGGGAAAAGGTTGTCTCCAACTTCACTTTGTGAGACTCATTAATACCTGTTTTTATGGTTGCATAAGTTACTGAGAAGACACAGAGGAATAGTATGAAACAATTTGCAAGCAACCAGTATCATAGTCAGGATTGTCATGTTTGTGTGCATGTGTTTGTCTTCTAACCTGTCCACATTTGTGCACTTAACCTCATTCACATATTTGTGCTTTCCATTAGTGTCTGAGGGACTTTTTTTTCCACTGCAGCCTTTCCTCATTCCCCAGTTTGTTGTGTTTAGAGCTGAAAGTTTCCCCAGCAGCGGATTCTGTGTAGATCTGTTCACATTGAAGATATGGTAGAAATAGATATGAATAAAAGGGAGAGTAGTGAAAACATGGAGTAGGGGATAGGAATGTTTTTGCTTGTGTGTGTGTGTGTGTGTGTGTGTGTGTGTGTGTGTGTGTGTGTGTGTGTGTGTGTGTGTGTGTGTGTGTGTGTGTGTGTGTGTGTGTGTGTGTGTGTGTGTGTGTGTGTGTGTGTGTCAACACTTGCACATTAAGGTCTGTGTTTTGTGTTAATGTGCACACAGATTGAGTGTGAAGGAGTTGTCTGCTTAACAGTAGATAAGGCACTAATTACCAGTCTTTATCATTTGCAGCCACACATTACACACATTCAGGAAGTGCATTTTCATCCATAAACAGCCTACAGCTTTCTCCCTTCTTCCCATCTTCTGTCTCCATCATACCACCATCCTCCTTCTGTTCATGTTGCCTGTGCCACTCTGGCAGCTCTTCCAGTTTTACTTACCTATGTATTATGTTCTCTTCATTCCCTCCCAACCTCTTCTGTGTCCTCTCTGTACCTGCACTCCTTGATGTCCTGCTGTATTTTCTCCATGCATGCAAATAAGCACAGCTACTCACTCTTGAACACAGCAGAATGTTTTGTACCCTGACTCTGTTAGGACTCATTATCCCTATCTCCCTTTTGTCAACACATTGAAATCATGACTGTCTGCCACTAATTTTATTCTGTAGAACAAGCAACACTTTTTTTGAATGAATATGAATCATGCAGCTTTGTTTATGTTCCACTGACTTGCACGATTTCATCCAGATCCAATTTCAGAGACCCCTTTAAGAAAGAGGGGTGCAGGGGTCAGCTAAAGAAACAGATATTGGATCAAGGCAGCTTTCTCCTCAATAACACATGTCCGACCTATTAAGCATAGCTGTTCCTTTTTGTTGGCAGCAAAAGTCCATGCAACATCAGCTTTAATCCCTCTTAGGGAGCTGAACTGTCTCCTTCTGGATTCTTTTAAAACATGCAGATTGATTTCCATGGTGTGATTGGTTGCAACATTGCACACTTAACGCTAGTGAAATGGACATTTCCATTCCCGTAAGCGGAGTTTACAGCATGTGTCAAAAGGATTACGTATGTCAAACTCCTTTCTGGTCAAATATTGATCGAAGTATGTTTCAGTAGCCTACCTGTGGGATAGTATTTTACTCTTTTGCGGTTGTTGCTGCCTTGAAATTCAATCAGTCACACCCTGGTTGAAAGCGGTACTCTCTCCACCAATCTGCCGTGGTGGCTGTAAAGCTACAGTACAAGCAGGGGCAGATTGTCGGTTGAGTTTACAGAGAGACGTGCTGCTGATCTAATGCTCAACGTGTGAAGTGCAACTTCTGCCTTGTTTTTTCCTGAGATGTGAGTGGATATTTTTAGCAGTGGCAAGAAATACATGCCAGTAAACAGTAGCCAGCTCCTGAATGACTACAACATAATGCCACTGTTGAGACTATTTTACAGTTGTGTAACAATTTGTTATGATTTGCTGTTGCTGGTTCTGTTATACAACAGGGAGCATTCACAGCCTGGCTTCTTGTAGATGTGGTGCATATCCTGTAATTAAACACAGTCACCACACATTGGATATTTACAATTCAGAATGGATTGTACATCTCTTCATGAGTAGTAAGAGCAGATGGAGTTTTTCATAGAGGACAATTCATTCAGATATAAAATGTCTGTGGTCCACTGTGTCCACAAATAGCCTTTTGGTAAACATCAAGATTGTGTATAAACAATGTTTTTATAGACTAGACCTAAATGTGTTGCTTGATTTTTATATATAGTGTCTATTTTAGGTTGTGGGCCATAGCCAGGCTTCCCTTCCCTCTCTTTAGCTGCTGCTGTTGTTGGCAGGGCCACCCGATCGCAGCAGAATAGCTGGTATTCTCTGTGTGCCCAGGGTGTAGTGGAGGGAACAGCCAAGGGACTCAGTGTTGCTGGGGTTTTGGTGGGGCTTCCCCGACCCGCCTCCATAAAGAAAGGCTTGTTTTCCAGTTTCTGTGTGTGTGTGTGTGTGTGTGTGTGTGTGTGTGTGTGTGTGTGTGTGTGTGTGTGTGTGTGTGTGTGTGTGTGTGTGTGTGTGTGTGTGTGTGTGTGTGTGTGTGTTTGTGTTTGGGATGTTGGTATGAATTTGTGCCACAGACAAACCCACATCCACATCCATTTTCATTATTAAAACTGCACTAATCAGTATTTTTATGTAAACAACAGCTGAAAAGACTGTAATGTGAAAGGGGTCGCTTGTAGTGACCTCGCCCAACTTCCCTCAGCTCCACAGAGCATTTTAGTGTCTTTTGGCATATCGTTTATTTATTTTTTTCACTGTCATCAACCTTATTTCCAACAGCTGTACACAGGTTTTTGTAGGGACAATGCTCTTTAAACTAATTGTATGTTACCAAACAACAGACAATAGTAAAGTAGCTGGTGAACAGAGTGGAGCATTTACTAGCTATAAAGAGAAATACTTTCTAAGGAGTTGGTGGAGAGCAAAATAAAGCTAAATATTGGACTTAAATTCCCCATGTGGCCAAAAACACAACTCCATATGAATCCTGATGTTGTTACATAAGCAACTGTTTGCTGACACATCTACTATAACAACTTTACACTTTAAGTGAAAACATGGTCATGCACACAGCATTTTCAGCTTGTTGTGTTGCCCTTAAGTGATTTATGCAGCTTTTAAATGCAATTCAGTTTAAATCAATATAAATGTCACTACAGATGGGCAATGAAGAAGGAATTTGTGCGTTCAATTCCTAAATTTTACCACACAGAAATCAGTGGTCTGTATGAAAATTAATTATCTTTCTGTTTCTTTCTCCTCTATTGCTTAGGTATAAGTCCAATGAAGAGTATGTTTATGTGAGAGGTCGCGGCAGGGGCAAGTACATATGTGGAGAGTGTGGCATCCGCTGTAAGAAGCCCAGCATGCTGAAAAAACACATCCGAACGCACACCGATGTCCGTCCGTACATTTGCAAACACTGCAACTTTGCCTTCAAAACCAAAGGTAAGGGAACAATTTACATGCTCCTTTGCATTATGTTATAACCATGTACTTTATGCCACATTTCACCTCTGAAATATCCTCATTTTCCTTTTCCCTGTGTGAATCGAGGACAATTTTTAATGTGCTTTTCTTGTTCCTTCCTAGGGAACCTTACTAAACACATGAAGTCAAAGGCTCATGGGAAAAAATGCCAGGCAATGGGAGTATCTGAGTCATCACTGGACGACCCAGACAGCGAGGAAACAGGTACTAAAGAGAGGATGGAGAGGCATCTCACATATTTCCTATCCACTTTAGAGAAATATTGGTACACAGCTGGATGAACTTCTGCCTGTGAAGAATTGTAGCTGCTCAGCACTGACAGCTTATGCAACACCATGTTCTATTCTCCTCCCTTTGGCCTTGCATAAGAAATATGAAAAAGTGTAAAATAAATGAATGAAGAATACACCGCATTTGACGTTTTCCTGATGTAGTTGCGGCAAGCATACCTTCCTTCTTAAAGACGCATTGCTGGCGTATGACAATACGCATTCCAACACTTTCGTCTGCCCCCCATCAAAGTCACAAAGGAGCCTCAAAGCCAGCCACCTCACGATCTCCTCCCTAAATGTCCTCTACTACCCCTCCCCTCACCGTCTCTTTCTTGCTGACAGACTACACTCATCGCAGCCAAGGACGCGCCATTTAAACCGTCTTTCCATTCACAAGGCTGTTGAGATAGTTTGTGAATAGAGGCATGGTGCTATTCAATTAAATTCCGGTCTTTTCATCCTCATTCTATTTATAACATGAGTTTGATGGGTGGTGGGTGAGGTTTGTCAGAAAGATACAGTATGCTGTCCTAACCCTTTGTGCTTGTTCCTGAAAATTGTTCTGTTAATGTGTTTTGATGTCTCTTAGGGTGAGGATTTTTGTCACGACTTTGTGCATTCGGTATAGGAGTTTTAAAATGTACAACATGGATGTAATGGGGTATAATTTAAAGGATGTGTATGGTTTTTCTGTGTCCACACAAACAGCAGGAAGTGAGGAACGTGTGTGTGGCTCCGAGGAACAGGAGGAGCATCAGTTTTCTGACGTGGAGGAGTCTGAGGACGATGATGACAACGATGACGATGATGATGAGGAAGAGGAGTCCGCATCCCATGATGACCCACCATCCTCCTGTTCGTCAGACACCCACCCATCAACAGCAGGGCATTCCAGCTGCAGTAGGCACTCTCAGCAGGGCACTCCTGAACCCGAGCCCCTGGGCCCCGGTCCCAGCCCCAGTCAGGAGCCCTCCCCAAGGGGAGTTTGGCCCAGCAGACGAGCCGCCTCTCCAGGCAGCAGGAGAGCGCTGTTCTCCCGGCGGGGCTGGAAGGCATCACCAAGGGCCTTCTCCCCCAGCAGTGAGAGCTGTTCCCCTAGCCGCAGCCTCTCCCCTCGTCTGGAGCTGTCCTCACCCATCCACAACCTCTCCCCTAGAACAGAGCTGCCCTCGCCCAGCCGACATGTCTCACCCTCCCCTGAGAGGGGACCATCTCCCATCAGACCCCTTTCTCCTCTTCGTCCTATTTCGCCCAGCTGCTACCGGTCATCGCAAGCTCAGACCCCTCCCTCGCCACTTGGGCTACAGCACAGGATCCATGGATACTTGCCATGGGAGAGCCCAGGTACAAAGGGTGGTCATGTCAAACTGGTGAGTCTTTTTTTCTCAGTCTGCAGAGATCTATGGCCTAGAAATTTAAACCACAATATATTTCCTCTGCATTTCCCTCCTCGGAAGATCTCAGTGTACAGTACCCTGTGTACTGATAGACCAAGTCCATGAAATGTAATGATGATGTCTGTGCTCCCCCTACAGGAGAAAGGTGGTACAGCAGCGGAAGGGCCAATATTGCCAGAAACCAGCTTGTTTCCTCCTGCTTTTCGTCTTTCCACCTGTGAGAGTTATTCTGGCCACCAAACAGCAGACAACATATTCAGCCATCTTCCCATGCACTCCCAACAAGCCAAGGTTCCTTGTCTGATGATCCCCATTGGAGGGATCCAAATGGTACAGGCCAGACCAAGGTCCCACCCTACTACCCCTTCGTCCCCAACGTCTCCCCCCATGGAGGGGCCATCACTGGCCAGGTTTGAATCATACTGGGGCGGGACCCCTAGAACTCAAGGGCTTAGGACTCCTGGAAACCACTGGTCAGAGTACCAGGCAGCAGGAACCAGCCAGTCAGGGCAGTGCGTTTTCAGCACAGCACTAACATGTTCCAAACCGGAGTTGGAGACCACAGACTCAAAGCAATATGGCAGCTCACATAGCTCCTCCCACACCCGCAAGTCTGCTACTGAGACCACCGAACGCTGCGTCAGAGACAGTCGTTCAAGAGCACCCCTCAGTCTAGCAGCCCCCGTAGCCTCGCCTGCCATTGGACAGCAGCCAGAGGGGGAGGAGCCACTGTCTGGTGGTGATCAGGTGGAGGGAGGAGCTAAAGGAGACTCAGCCGGGACAGACCAGAGCACGTAACAGTGTGTACACCTTGATGCATCATGCATCCCATTTTGCTTTATTGGTTGCTACACTAGTCTTGTTTTTTTATTGCTTTGTTTTTATACAGTTTTCAATACTATTGTTAACTTAAATGTTTGTTCGTTGGCAATATTCAGGTTTGTTATAAAAATGCACTTTTTTCTTTGTAAAAATAATGTCTATCTATATAAATTATATATATAAATATATCCCTCCCGTATCTCTATTGATACTGGTAATCTTAATGTCTGTTTAAATATATGTAAAAGGAGTATGATTAAATTTGTAAATGACCAAAATCTTTAATCAAAAATAATTCCATTTTTGTTTGTCCAAATTTTGTCCAGTATTACTCAAATTGTAGTTACTTGTGCCTTTTCTGTCCAGGTTTGTGTTTTGAGATGTACAGTACAGATAGACAAAGAGAAGGCTGTGAAATTTTATATCTGCTTTTTTGTGCCGTTCAAGAGGGTTAATATTTGGTGTTTTGATTGTTTCTGTTCCATTGCTTTAATGCCAGGGTAACAGAGAGTCGCATCATAGAGATATTGAAGGAGCAGCAGAAACGTGTCAAAGGAATTGCACTGAAGTTCTATTTTTTATTACAAAATATTTTAGATTAGAATATATCTCTGTACAGGGAAGAGCGCTCCTTATTTATTGTTATTTGACAATGATCATTGTTTCAAGGTTGTTTTTTTTTATTGGAAAAAGGATGTTTTTTGTTATATCTGTGTGTCTTTTTCATGATGTACTTGTGAACTGAATTGGTGACAGAGATGAGGGATCGAGTTTGGCTGGTACCGGAGGATTAAGTGCCCTGCAGATTTCACACAGCAAAATTTCTAGTCATTGAAGAAATAAAAAATGCACCAGACTCCCTTGAGATTGTGCTTTTTTTCCGCCATGTGTAGAGTATCATGCTTTTGCTCCAATAGAGTTTGTACCATAATTCTTTTTAATTCCAGTGTGGCAGTTAAAGGACAAACTTCTCTATGCATGTTTAATGATTTCCTCGTGTTATCAACCGCATTGTATTGGTTTTCCACAACAGACCAGTGAAGTTGGAACGTGGGCAAGGAAACATCAAAACTACATCATAAACGTCTACAACCGGGATCAACTGATTGGATCAGAAGGGGTTGAATCCTTTTAGGAGAACATAAAAGGTGTGTCTTTCTTTTGTTTTGTTTGTGGTACTTTGTCAGGAGCTGTGTGGTATTTTGAAGTCTTGGCTTCCACTTTGATGGTAGTTTGTGATAAGTTTGGTTGTACTTTGAGACGTGTTAATGTGATTTGTAGCTATAACCCTTTTCCATGTGTCTTCTCCCTTTAGGAAAGTTGTGTGGTTTCCCTTTTTTCTTCTCAAAAACAAGTAGCTTTGTATCAGAATGTTAAATCTGTATCTCCATTTGCCTTTACAACATTTTTAAAGAATATTACTTGCATGTTAAATTGCTGTGGAAAGATAACAAAAAAGAATATTGTTACAGAGATGCAACCAAGAAGTGGATGACTAAAACCACTTCCAGGCGCTCTGCCACCACAAGTTGCCGGAATAGCTTTATCTTGGCAAAGATTCTCCAATTGAACTTTGCTCCGGAGATTGTATACAAAATATATTCCCCCGATTTGATGTTTTTATGCACCCACAGCATATCATCATCCTTATCATACTCACCAAACTCTCTTGACCCGTTGTGCCCTGTATGTAAGCATCTGCTTTTATTATGCTTCTCCACTCACCTGTCAGTATGTGACAAGGATTAAGTAGCACCACAATAATCAGTCCGCTAAGCTTTTCCCTCTTGAGGGAGCAACCAGGCAGCTGTATTCCTTTAGTAGTACCACTAGATGTCCTTATTAAATCACCAACCCTCAGGTATCCACCAAGATAATTTTATCTTCCATGCAGCTGTTTTCAAAAGGAAGTGCTTGTGTCTAAAGAAACACTGTTGTGATTTAGCATACTGTTTCCCTTGGTTTTAGTTTTGATTGGGGTCAAGAGGGTGAACACACACCTTTCATAAGAAATCCACCTTATCAACTCTGAGACAACAGGAACTTAAATGACGTCTATAAATTCTAAACTATGATTGGCTTTATGGGTCAGCTGTGAATTCAACTTGTAGCTTAGAGTTGGAGACAGTCCTGAAACGCCCATTTTTTATTATGTTCACACACATTTATAACTTTCAAAGGCTGAAAGATTTTGATTCTACATCATTCACTGTTTTTATCATATCAATTTGCCTAGCAATTTAAAACAATAAAACAATATTCACACACAAAATAATATTCACATAAATGTATCACTCCCATCCCAGCAGTGTTTCCACTCACTGTCGCTGGTGCTTTACACACCATTGTTTAACAGCGCAGCAAGACACGCATTACTTAAAGCTGATTCTGGCACAGCCAGCAAGCGTCCTGACAAGAAGCCAAAAGATGTTTGCTGCTGTGACTTGACATTCCACTGAAAATGTTATCAAACAGGCAACAGGGAGGCACTTGTATTTTTAGACACCTATGTCAAAAATAGTTTGAAGGGAATGAACATTCTTCCTCCTTCAAAGCCCTGTATATACAACACAGAGCCGAGGTCGAGGGAGATAATGTTTTCAAAAGAGTGAACTGAGGAGGTACGGTTGCTAATTAAAAATAAACACCTGTTTCTAGGACAGAAGCTGGCAACGACACTGGATGAAACAAGACACCCTGGTTTTTCTCCGACTTGCATCACTTTTATTCGCTATTCATATTTCAGAGACGGGACTGCTTGATGTGATGTGATTCCTGTGGAGAGAGGCACATCTGTGCTCCTGAGGGAACTGAACTTATAACCTCTGGTGCAAAAATATGTTGAAAAATTTACACTATCATGATGCAGTGTGGCAATCTCATCACCATGTCAATCTCATCACCATGTGAAGGTATTATACACTGCATAGAGAAAAATTACTCTCTGCTCTCTGCTGTGTTGTATATGTTCAAGTATCAGGTTTCATGGAAAGTGGATTATAAGTAAACAGTATCCATACAGGGGTTTATGGCAAATGAATAGGGAAAATGTATTTGTGTTTGCCCTCATCTACTGAATAAACAAAACTGACTATGCTAAGTGGTTACACGTCCATTTTTCAAATTCTATTCTACTGAAAAACACTGCCTGCACACCTCAAATGCTTGTATGTTTCCATTGGAGAAATGTCATCTAAGCCTTAAGATGCAAAAGATGATCTACTTCAAATTTTCCAATTCATTACTCCTCTTCCCAATCAGAAAAGTGATCTTTAATCTTCAGGGAAATGATGGCAGTGAAGACAATTTGTACTCTACTAAATCTGAATATGTATTTACTATATTTACATGAGTGAATGGTGCCATTTGGCTATCTGCGTGATTCTGGCACGGCTGACCTGCATACTGGGCACCATGTGGGTGGGACATGACAAGGAACATATAGCCTACTGCCTGTAGGCAGGGAAGAGCAGCCTGCTTATCTCTGTGTGGGCTTTCACCAGTCCAGCCATCATGGAGGCATCAGTGCAGTCAAATGTAACACTGGAATTTCTTTGTGACAGTTACATTGTCAGTCACAAAAAAACAAAACATGAAAAATGCAATAATGATTTTTTTTTTTTTTTTTTTTTTTGCCACTGGGGGCAACAGAACAATGTCACATTTTAAGTTGATATGGCACACTTATTAGCAAATACCAAAATAAGATCTTTTTCAGTCATTTGACTACATCAAACTACATTTAATGGTCACACATTTCTTGTTATTGTTCCACTTTTGTTCCAATAGAGAAAGTGGTCTTTGGAAAATCTTAGTTGATGGGGCACAAGCTCAACCAGGTGAGCTACCAGGTGTATTAAGGCTAAGCCCTTACTGCAGTGGCCCTGCTTTGATTTTGATATTCCAGTCACTCAAAAATTCTAAAAAATAAACAATGTCTCCATTGCATATCACTTTATCTTCCCCCTCGTGTTCACTGCTGGGATCCACTGTCTTGGTGCTCCTCCATCACTTTTTAGAGCATATCAGGATCCATCAGCCTCTCTGCTCTATCTGCTCTGGCACATTAGGTAATCCCTTTAACCCTCCTTCAGATATCCTGTCTTCCTCCATCTCTCTCTTCCTCCCCCTCAAACCTCATGTATAGCTAGAGGGAAGAGACAATTCCTCATTCAAAGGCAAACTGCAGACATAAATGTCACTCAGCAGGTGACAGCGGTGTCATGGAGAGGCTACAAAGCATCAGATATTCCTGGAATTTGTCACAGGTTCAAACACCCTGGGGTCGTACACTGTGGCTCCACAGCAAGCAGCTGTGGGTGGAGCTTTTACCATGACATCATATGAGGGAGAGGAGAGTAGAGTTATAAGTGAGAGTGGCATAGCTCAGACACCTGCAGACAAACAGCAACAACAGCAGCAGCAGAACACACAACACAGCTGCAACTGAACGGATAATAGTGTCTCTGCAGAGCTTCATCCATCTGCCATCAACTATGTCTGCTAACACCAGTGTTCTTCTTCTCCTCGCTCTTTGGGCTTCCATGCAGGATGGTGAGTTAAATATATATTCTACATATTTGTATTCTTGTTTCTGTGGGATGTGCAGTTAAGCTAGACTAGAAAAAGCCTATTGCTATAAGCAGTGTGTGAACTATACCATGGCTTTCAGGGGAGCTCACTTTTTTGTGTGCTATAGTTGCAAAGAAACATTTGTAGCTGTGATCATGTAGTCTACTGGCTTTATGTCAGCACATCTGATATTTAATAAGCAATTAATAACATACTTGCTTTAATAATTTTACATATGATCCATGATGATAAAGATACAAAAAAAAAACTAGAAATACATGGAAAAAATAGCATATTGTCAATATTTTAGAGCCCCCCCCCAAAAAAAAAAAAAAAAAAAAATTAAGAGGAGCCAAGCTCCCCCTGGCCCCCATGTAGTTCCCTGGTTATGTGTGTTTTTGTTACTGTATGTAATATAATGTATGTTGGTGCACATACATGTTTTGGCAAGCCAAGAAGCCCAGAACACATCAAAGGGTCAATTTATTACATAATAGCGGCTCATTTTATCTAAAGAAGATTTTTACTACTGCTACAGCTTGTAATTGATTGAAGTAGGAGCGTGATAGTGTTTTCCTTATTTCCTGCAGGTTTTGTTTATTTAACACAATAGAAGAAGAAGTAAATAGTTTGTTTGTGAGCCTTTAGATTTAGCCTTTTTTGACTGTCTGTGACAATGAAAAAGCAAAGGAATTCATGCATTCACATCCAGTGAATGAGTGTTTGCTCACAGCAAGATCAAGAGTGATGAGTTTTGTAGAAAGAACGGGGAATTTGTAAAGAATGGTTGAGTTTTTTCATGTCCTCACTTGCAAATTCTATACATAATAGACAGATGTATCATTTACATCTGTTTTATGTTTTGAAAATCAGAGAGTAAAGGCAAGGCCACTGACAGTTGGTTTGGTCGGAGTTGATGCTGTGTTTGGATCACTGTTACTGAGTGGCTCTTTGTTTTTCCGACTAGGTTTGGGTCTTCCGGTGGTGAAACAGCTGGAAGTGGAGGCCGGTGTCCCACCACAGAGAGAGAGGACCAAGCGCTGTGCCTGCAGCACCCCGCTGGACTCTGAGTGCCACTACTTCTGCCACCTGGATATCATCTGGGTCAATACGCCCAGGTGAGCTTGAAAAGACATAAACAAGTTTGGACACATGCAACATACTGACATGTATAGTGACTTTTGTTATGCAAAGCATCTTGGCCAGGATGATTAAGAATGAGGCACAAATGTCAGTGCATTATCTCTTTGAGCGCAATATCTGCAGAATAAACATAGGCTATCA